TCTAACAACAGTCCCCCAAACAATCCTATTAAAGATGGAAAGTGTGTTCTCTGGATGAATATGACCGGTATTGAAATCCCTGCTCACAGATTACCTCCAATTTTGTCCAGAGAAGTGAATCCTGGAGTTGACTTGGATGAAAGCTATCTCAGTTGTCTAAAGAGCTGACCTTGGGCAGTCACACAGAATGCTTTTTGTCATGGCTTATACACACACATATATATATATCCTGAAGTGCTTTTTCAGATGTATATGATGTATATTTTAGGATTATATTAAACAAAGAATACAAGTGGGAAGTTTGAAATTTGTGTAGTTTATAATGGAGGATAAAAACATGGGTTCTGGAGTTTCAGAGCCCTGGGTTACAGTCTCAGTTCTGTTATTTAAACCTATATGATCCTGAGCAATTTTATTATTATCTCTAAGCCTAACTCCTTTATCTGTAAGTATGAATAATAATAGCGCCTCCTTCATGGGATTTGTGCCTATGCAGAGGGTAACTCTCAATATCATGAGGACGAAGTGATGTGAATTATCCAGCATCTGGTACCTATTCAATCAATAATGGTTACGACCATTATCTCTGAGAATGTGAAATGTTTGCATTTCATTCTTTCATCCATGTGTTACAACAAACAACTCCTGAGAGTTTATTCTTGTGATGGCCACTAGGACTGGAACTGAGTTGAAAGTGTTGGAGTAATGTGGGTAAACAGTAAAAGGGTTATCTTTGTATTATTTCTAAGAACTGCATATGAATGTACATTTATCTTAAAATTACAAGTTTAATTAAAAAAAAAAGTGGTAACAGCAAAATACATCATCATTATAGCAAACTGCGGTTCAAGGAAGAAACTATTTTGTCTCCAGGTCTCTTCCTAGAGCCAATTTGAAAGGCTGGTGAGAGCGTGAGGTGAGTGGCTGCCCAAGAGGAAGTAAGTGTCATGGAGTTGGGCAAAACCTTGACATTCCTCCTAGACTGGGCTAGGCCTGGATTCAGGCTACAGAGGGCAAGAAGAGTTGGGGTGACCTTCTCCACACGGATGTCCAGGGTTATGCTGATTTGACTCCCCGCCACAAGAAAAGGTCAGGAGGCATGGGGAAGTTCAGTGGGGTAAAATCCTTTAGTCCTGGAATACGTACCTTGTCTTGTTGGACATAACACTATTCTGACTCTTTCCCAAAGCAAACACGTCAATGAACCCTCTGGCAACCACGAGCAGAACCAGGCAGATGGGCGTTCCTCTCAAGGTCTTACCTGGTGTGCCCACCAGACCATTAAGTAAGAGAATACAGCGATCCAGGTGATGGAGCCGAAGAATGTGATGGGAAAAAACTTTCTTGATGACTGAAAGAGAACCAGGAAGAGGTGAGAGCATCAGTACCATCCATGAGGTGGATCTGAGAGACCAAAGCTAAATCCACCAATACCGCTACTCCTCCCCCATTGCCTTCCATCTTTGTAGGCTCAGCAATCAAAAGGCCCTGCCTACCCTCAGTCAAGCTGGGCCAGGAAGATTCTCTCTTGGGAATGTTGGTTGGAGCCAAATCATCACCAAGCTAGTTCCTGAGATGGAAGTCTCTTGAAGAGAATGTCTGTTCCTGCTGTTGGCTGCTCAGATGCCCCCTGTCCCTGTCCTTCCCATGGCCTTGTCTCTCAGTCTTGCCCTCAATCTCTTGATCACCCCATAGCCTTCCTCTGTCTCCTGTTCCCTTCTGCTCAAGTTCATCAGAATCAGTTTCTATTGCTTCACCCCATGTATCCTAGCAGTCCATTGGCCAGAAAACCTAGGTGATTAATTGCTTTTAACAAGAAGGATCAATAGGTTCCAAAATAGGTTCATCTTACTGCCCCACAAATTACTGGGAAAAGCCACATAGAAGAAGCCATCACCATAGTTTCTATAGATTCCTGAGGACAGCCGCCCTCCAGGACATTTGAACCACTGTTGTAGAGTTAGAGCAGACAAAGGCCTGGTGCACTGCTCTCCACAGAGGTGGCAGAGTAGATGATCTTGGGATGGTTTTCTCTCCTGTTCTGCACCCTGACTGTATTATGTCCATTTCTGCTTTGAGCACTGGCCTTTGTGCAATCTCAGGCTTACAGTGTGAGCACTTTATTTTTTAAAATTCAATTATAATGAACATGCAGTGTTATATTAGTTTCAGGTATACGATGCAATATAATGATTCACCAATTCTATACATTATTCAGCGTTCAGTGTGAACACATTTAATTTCTTTCAAACATAAGCCAAAATCAGACACTCCAAATGCAGTGTTTCTTACCTGCCCCCACTACAGGGAGACCAGGCTTGCATGGGATTGTAGCGGTGTTTTTTTGATAGCTTTTTTTTTTTTTTTTGCAAAATTGGGGCCCTTTTAAAACATGCTCAGATAGCAGAATGCCCTCAGCCTTTCACCTATTACTGCCAAACACTTTTTATTTCAAAGCTCTCCACTATGAGAAACAATCTCATTTTTTGCTTTGATAATGCCATCCAATTTTGTCCAGAGAAGTGAATCCTGGAGTTGACTTGGATGAAAGCTATCTCGGTTGTCTAAAGAGCTGACCTTGGGCAGTCACACAGAATGCTTTTTGTCATGGCTTTTGAGATCTTCATTAAGAGGAAAAGATAAACTTGTACCTAGTAATCTTTTGAATATCTATAATAATAACAAACATAGTCTCTATCGCGCCAAACCAGGTGTATGTTCTCTTTACTAATTTTGAGTTTTCAATATATGCTTTTATTATCACTCATACCATTCTGTTATATTTCACAATAACCATTTCTTTCACTTAACGAGTGCTGCCTTTTTTTGGGCTATTTGTTAGCCGCAGTGTCTGCAAGACCCATGGGCTTGATTAAATTGGGGGAGACATCAGGCCACAGGGAAAAGGAAGACTTTTCCAGGCAGATGGGAGTTCCTCTCAAGGTCTTACCTGGTGTGCCCACCAGACCATCAAGTAAGAGAATACAGCGATCCAGGTGATGGAGCTAAAGACTCAGGCCCCTCCTGGGGGCCTGAGCACTTTAGTGAGTTATGAAAAAAAAAAGTAATCAGTTTTTCAAAGTGGACGTTGAGACATTCACTTCTGAGGGCGAATTCCTTTAAAGCTAAGGATTCAGCTGGATTTTGGAGACCAGATTCCCCAAGTCTTGGAATTGCCAACACTAAGAAGGCAAGTTTTCCCAGACATGGCATTTAGCTGATTGGAGTCCCCATTCTTTCCCTCTGGTCACAAGTCACTGTTTCAGGATCCTAAGTGGGATGAGTGTTTCATCTCCTGTAGCCAGGCTCTGTAGCAGGGAAGGAAAAGGCCTTTCTTGTGATGTGGGGCCCCACATGAGATTGAAGCAGCCACCAGGCTGTGATTCTGAGCATCCTGTGAAGGAATGGAGTACCATCTGTATACTTTATGGTACAGTGTATGTACTGGAGATCTTGGGAGAGTCCTCATTTCATAGATTGCTCATTTTACAGCTTAGATCATTTATTAAATATATAATTAATATTTTATTTATTATGGCTTCGCACGTCTGTACATTGATGTAATGTGACAAGTCAGAATCAAATTATTTGAACATATTTCTCATCTGAAGAACATCATCCCTGAACCATGGAACATTCCTAGTCAGAAGGTAGAAACTAAGGAAGCAGACTAAGGATGTAAAGGAACTAAATTCACATCAACATGCTAATGAAAACCTCTCTCAATGATGCTTGTGATTCTTGATCAAGAGGTCAACTAGTAATCAATGGACATCTATGTGTATCTAGTGTTATATTAGGGGCTCAGTGAAAAGGAATTAAAGATAGGTTTTTTTTTTTTTTTTGTGAGTTTCCAGGTCTTCATCATAAACTAGGGGTAGGTAAAGGCTGGGTACCTACTCTATACCCAGATCTTGAACTAGACCTGAAATTCAAACCTAGGTCTGTCTGACTATCCAGCATGTATTCCTAATATTTAGGTTATACTGATTTGTTCTTAGAGAAAAAAAGGGCCAATAATGCTCAAAATATGCCCAGCTATGGACATAATGATGATGATCATTGTAATACTAGCCTGTGCTCTGAATGTCAGAAAATATAAGGAGCATCGGGGAGATAGGGGCTAGTATTCTGGCTGAACAGCCATCTGCCTCACCCAACCTCCCATATTGTTCCTGATTGGGAAGCATCAACCCTTTATGCATCGGGAGTTTAGTTCAGTGTTTCCCAACTGTCCAACTACCTTATCCTTTCCAATCTCACAGCCCAGGTAATTCCCTCCTCTTTCATTTTTTCTGAATGACTCCCCTTATTTGGATTCTATGGTCTCATTCCAGACATCACTGCCCAGTCGCACTTGTGCAATTATTTAGTGCCAAGTCTCACTGGAAGGAAGAAAATAGCCCTTGAAGCCAAGGTCTGACATGTCAATTTTTGGTTAGTAATGGTGGCTCATCCTAACATCTGCTGGGATGAACCTCCTACTAATTAGCAAAAAACAAATTGTGTCCATGTGCCGGCCATTTTGTTCCCAATGTAATGGTTTACATGTATAATTGACAGCTAATGTTCTCATTAGAAGCTTTCAGTACATCAGCGTGATACTTTCTTGGCTTGAAAAATGTTTCTGGACGTTAGCTGGTTGCACAAATTGGCCATATCCTTACTGATCTAAATTTGACAAATATTCACTGAGCATCTATTCTGTGCAAGGTTTGAGGGGCATACACATCTAACAACAGTCCCCCAAACAATCCTATTAAAGATGGAAAGTGTGTTCTCTGGATGAATATGACCGGTATTGAAATCCCTGCTCACAGATTACCAGTGATGTGACTTGAGACATATCATTTTATCTCCTAAGCCTTAGCTTTTTCATCTGTAAAGTGCGGGGGGGGGGGGCGGGCGGTTAACAATATCTGGTTGTTCTGAGGATTTCGGGTCTATAAAGTGTCTACCAAAGTGCCTGGCACGTAGTAAGTGCTCAGATAATAGTGACGGTTCTTATTAGATGATGTTCTCCTCATTTTGGTTTTTAAGAGACAAGGAAACTGAAGTTCAGAGAGGTGCAAGTGGCTGCAGAGACCAGGCTGAGGTTCTTGGCTTCACCTCTCACTTGCTGGGTGTGCTTGGACAAGGCACTAAACCTCTCTGGGTCTCAATCACTTCTTTCTTGCTAGAACTGTGCTTGGTACACAGCAGACACAATAAATACTTGGTGAACAAATCAATGACTGGTATGAATTGCAAAAACAGAGCTGACTTCTTAGGTATCTTCCCAGTTTAGATGGTCATGCTGTGATGCGTTTAGATGCATTCCTGTTTTGTAAGAGCACCCATCCTAAGTCAGGAGAGAATATAACTTTTGGGGGTCTTTATTTCTTTTATGATTTTCAATGTTTATCAAAGACATGTTCCTTGTTAAGCTTTATATTTTAGTTCTTTTGCTTTGAAACCAAAGCCATTATTTGAAGAAAACGATAAAAGTGAATTAATCTGAGCTGGAAGTGTGTATAATCCAACAAACACTGTCATATAATTTGCATATAAATGAAGTGGAAATAAAAACAAGTGGGAGTACTGTTTACTCTGAAACTGGATGGATACTAAAAAATCATGTTTTCCTCGTAATTACTGTCGAGGTTCGGAACGTTCATCTCCATGGGTAATTCCAAAACCACTGGGGACACAGAGTGCCAAGCACTCCGGAGGAGCAAATGCTTATTAATTAATAATTTTCTCCTCTTTTTTTCTTCTCCCTTGATATTTTTTCAGGACGCCCTGGTGGCAATGCATGAAGGCCGAGGTAGACTGCCAAAATGGCCACAGCACTTTCCAATTTTTCTTAACAAGAGTCGAGGTCTGTTTCCCCATCCTTTGACTCTGGGCTGGCCTTATGACTTTCTTGGACCAACAGAATATGGTAGAAGTGACAGCATGCAGAATCCAAACTAGATCTCAAGAGGCTTTGCAGCTTTCATTCTTGCTGTCCTTGGAACTTGGCCATCATGTGCCTCAGCTCTGGCTAGCCTACTCAAGCGTCAGGGACCGTGCGGGGCAGAGATGAGCTTTTCCCACTGACATAGTCCTATGCCAACAAGCCCTCAGCCAGATCAGTGAGCAGAACTGTCCGGCTGAGCCCAGGACAAACTGTCCATTCAGAGAATTCTAGACTAAAAAATTGCTTCCTTTTTTAAGCCACAAAGTTTTGGGCTGGTGTGTTACACTGCAAATGATCACTGATACAAGATCAAACCTACTGAAACTCTTCTGTGCTAAGCACAATCAAGAACCCATTTGTTGTCTTTTGTATCAACCGGCATGGTTTCTTTCATTTGGCATTGTGTACATGCAAAGGATGGCCATATAATCCATCTGCCAAACCAGCATGCTTTGGGATTAAATTGGGATTATCCTGGGCAAACTGGGATGTATGGTCCCCTTAAATTTGCAGTGCTGTAGTGGGGGTTATCTCTTTATGCTTTCCTTAATCACAGGATGTCATGGCCCACAGGGAATCTAGAGCTCTTCTCTCCCTGTATTTCACAGAGGAGGAAAAGTGAGGTCCAGCGATGAGAAGTGACTTTCTCAAGGTTGCGCAGCTCATGCGTTATGTGGGGGAAAACCCCGCTGTCGTCAGCGTGGTAGAATGAGAACGCTTATGGAGTCAGGAGACTCCTGTTCGAATCCAGCTGCTGTCACTGATACAGCTATGTGGTCTTGCTCTATAGTGATATGCCTTGTTTCTTCTACTAAGTTTAGAGCTCCTTAAAGATAGGAATTGGGAGTTCTGTGTCTTCACCGGTCGGCCACAAGCTTGATGCTTGGCACCTAAGAGGTACTCAATAAATATTCTGCTGAGGAAATTTTAAAACAACCAAATGCTCTGAGAGTCGCATTTTTGCTTGGGAGAGCACACAGTGTATGTAGAAAAAGAGAAAAAAAAAAATCCAGTCCGTCCCAGGGATGGCTCTTGGCAGCGCAAAGGGCAAAAGCCTCATTGGCTACCCTGGCCCAGAGGCCGGCTCTCAAGGTTTGTGCACAGCGAACGACCAGTCCGTGGTATTACAGAGGAGAGCATCACGTACAGCTGCGTCTTCTTGCTCTGTATCTCTGGGGGCTGTAGCATCAGCCAGCACAGCTGTCGTGATCCGGGTAATTACTGCCATGGTGGAGTCCTGTGTGTTGTCCAAGAGTCGCTGATTCAGAGCTTTGATCTGCCCTAACAGCGTCCTTGTCCTGTGAGCTCAGATCACAAGAGACGATCGGCACTCTGCCAGGCCTTGCCCTAGGAGTCCCGCCCAACCTGAGAGCCCAGGCCTCGATCACTGGCATCTTCCCTCCATTCCTGCACACTTTCCTGATTGTTCCAGTGGCTGTGGGCTGACACCTTCTCAGCAGCCCATCGGGGCCACGCCGCACTAGGCCGGCCACAGGGATTTAGGAAAGCATGTCTGTCGCTCTGATTTTCCTCCCTGGGGCAGAGCAAAAGCACTGGTCTGAATAGCAGAACAATGGAAGGAGAGAGAGAGAAAGAGAGAGAGCGTGTGTGCGAGAGCACACGTGAGCGCGCACATCTCAGAAATGTCACTGTGATGTGAGCCGTGAAGGAAATTAACACATTCCAGCTCTTTGGCTGGAGGTTTCCAGGAAGCGAGGCCTTTGCACGGAGCAGATGTTCTGCAATTGCGTCATGAATAAAGTGTTGCTTTAAGTAAGCCATACCTGTTACATGCCCCCCTTTACTGGGAAACCTCTCATGTTGGGAGTCCTTACACGAGGGGGTCCTTTTCTGGCTTGTAGGTGACAAGACATGGCTCTCCACCAGGCTGGATTATTTATAGGCCAGGCCAGTGGGACAGGATTTCTCTTCTGTCTTCTTCAAGTACGGAAAGTGGGATCACCACGGGGCTCTTAGGACTTTGGCTAAATTTCACTGTATGTTACCACGGTGTCCTATTGCAAATGCTTTCAGAAATGATATCCTTGGACTTCTACTTTCTGGTATCATGAAATATGAGGGGGTAGCCCAGGCTGTGTGGTTACACAGACCTGGGTCTGAATCTCCACTCTATCCCCAAGGAAGTGATCAGGCAGGAGTTCGTTAACTTCTCTGTGCCTAAGTTGCTTTCTGCTTATGCCAATAATATATAACATTATATATAAGTAATACAAAATATATGTCTGTGTGTGTGTGTGTGTGTGTGTGTGTATACACACACATTCCTATGCTAGCTGTTTCCTGAGATTCTACAATATAGCTTATTGGAAATACATGGTACATAGTACATACTGATGCATAGTAGGTACACACCTCTGTTGAATGAGACATGTGTGTAGGGCCATAATAAAAAGTACAGCTACTTGTTATCATTAGTTCCCTTATCTTTTGGGGCACTGGCCTAAGAACCCAGTTCAACAGTAGGAGAGATGTTCTTTTGATTTGATCTCTATTTAGGTTGTATTTTGCTGCTCATAAGATGGTATTGTGTTCAATGCATCCGGTGCATACTAATGGTAGAAGAGAATATTGATTATAGTAATGATAACAATACAGGATGGAGAAGATCAGACAGGTAGGCATTTATACTACATGAATGCATTTCTTTAAATTATTTTTTGAATGGAATGAATAATGTACATGTACACAAATACTCCATAAAATAAAATGTGAGGTCCCCCCCTGCTTCAAACCTTCAGTTCCTCTTCTCAGAGACCATCACTGTGGTGGTTTGAAAACATGGTCGCCAATTCTTCGACACTCCTTCCATCAAGGATGTCATAGCCTATATGACGCTGATATAGTCTAGATAAATTTTTGTCTCCTCCCCTTTAATCAAGACAAATTTATGACTGCTTTGACAACTAGTGACTCTCTGTGGCTTCTGAGACTAGGTCATCAAAGACCATGCAGCTTCTGCCTTGTGCTGCTGGGATACTCATTCTTGGAGCCCTGATTTCCTATCTACAATATCTGACTCTCTTGAGGCCACCATGCTGTGAGGGAACCTGAGTCACATGGAGGAGCCACATGTAGGCTCTCCCATAGACCATTGCAGGTGAGCCCAGCCTTTGAATCATCTCTGCCCAGGGCCCAGGAACATCAGTGAAGAAGTCTCCAGATAAGTCCATCCCACAGCCAAAGTCTTCCCAGCAGAAGCCTCAGATGTTGTGGAGCAGAGACACGCCATCCCCAGTGTGCCCTATTTGAATTCCTGACCTACGTGATCCACAAACAGATCAAAATGTTTGTTGTTTCTGCACCACTAAGTTTTGAGGTGGTTTGTTACAGAGATCGGATAACTCGAACCATCACTATTATTGTGCACCTTTCCAGAGAGATCTGAGACATATATAAGCATACACATGTTCATATGTCACCCTCCTTTTCCTCTTAAGGCAAAAGGAAGCAGCCTACACATACTGTTATATACTGTGCTTTTCACAAGGAGTCAACTAAACAAAGATCTACTCACCGGTTTGCGGACGTCAGGTAAGGTAATCCAGAGAGGAAACACTATGGGGAAAACAATTAGGAACGTGACTTGCTTTCGGGGGTTGGAAGGCCAGGCCAGGCTGAGAGGCTGGTCCTCCTCATCTTCACCCGTCTCTGTGGTCTGTTGCAGAAAAACAGAGATGAAAGAATAAACAAACAAAAAAGACAACAATGTACAAGAGCAAGAGCACAAAGCCAGGGAGGGATGCTCGGGTCACCATCAAGAGTTTTCTTGGGTCATCCCAGCAGCTTCATCACAGGATTTTTAGGTTTGTCCAAGAACCCCGTCTGTCACAGTCTGAATCCCAGGGACAAACAAGACATGTGCACCCAGGAGGACTGAGGAACTTCCTTTTCTCTCCCTGAACACTCTTCAGCTTCTCCCTTAAAGGAAGGGATCATTCAGCTGGAGTGGGCTACAGCTCCGGTCCATGGACTTTTTTTTTTTTTTAAAGATTTTATTTATTTATTAGAGAGAGACACAGCGAGAGAGGGAATACAAGCAGGGGGAGTGGGAGACGGAGAAGCAGGCTTCCTGCGGAGCAGGGAGCCTGATGCGGGGCTCGAGCCCAGGACCCTGGGATCATGACCTGAGCCGAAGGCAGACGCTTAACGACTGAGCCACCCAGGCGCCCCTGATCCATGGACTTTTTAAGAAACCATTTCTGCAGAGCAAAAGACCCCAATGCCCACCTTCTCCTCCTCTTCCCTTCTCCTTGAACACAAAGCTACAGGCTTCATTATGGAAATCCTTGGAAAGGAGTTTTTAAAATTAAAAATTAGAAAAGATTAAAATAAATATATTTTTTATTTTTTTAAAATAAATTTATATGTATTTACAACATTGACTTTGAGTGGGCAAAGGCAAGTAACCATAGAAACAATTCAGTAACAATACTCAGCTTCCCTCCCTGGCCCTGGAATAAATAGTCAAGCTCACGAATTATTGTGTGGTTGTGAGTTTTTAACCATGCACAATCATCTTGTTAAATTCGAAACCATTTTAATTCCAGCCGAAGGCTTATTACGCAAACATGTGTCCCATTCTCAGAGAAACAGAGTATGGGGGTCGAGCACGACACGGAGCCCAAAGGGTATACGGCACAGGACTCAGAGTCTGGGGTGAACTTGAGAGCTTCTGACTTCGCAGCAAGTGGCCAGGGTTTTACGTGCCACCTGCTGAAGTCGGTGGCTTCTGAGGTCCCAGAGCTAGAAGGGACAGAAGGTGGCTCCGGGCCTGGCAGGCTGACCATTAACCTGTCAAGATGGGCCCTCTGAGCCTTCAACACAGCACTGCAGACGGCATCAATCACTCCCTTCCCTGCTTGTTTAGAAATGAAAGTGCAGCAGGAGGATCAAGCATCAGATCTAAAAATATCTACAGGAACTTTTCCACGGATGCTTCCTTTTGAGACCATATAAATAACCCTCGTAGGCTTCATGAAGCTCCTGGCCCCCTGTGGCTCTTGCTTCCAGCAGTGTGCCCTATTTCCAGCAGCAGCCCTGACACCCCCGCCCCCGCAGCACACCCTCTCCCTATGAGGTGGCACAGGGGCGGGCTCAGGCCGGTGGGATGGGAGGAAAGGACTCAACCAGCCGCAGGGCTGGGTGTGAGGCCCGATGCACTGTGGTGTTATGTTTATTTATAATTTAAACCCTAGTACTGCTGAAAGGATTTGTAGTGGTTTTTTTTTTTTTTAAATGTTTTATTTATTTATTCATGAGAGTCAGAGAGAGAGAGAGAGAGAGAGAGAGGCAAAGGCAGAGGGAGAAGCAGGCTCCCCGCCGAGCAGGGAGCCCGATGTGGGACTCGATCCCAGGACCCTGGGATCATGACCTGAGCCGAAGGCAGATGCTTAACCATCTGAGCCACCCAGGCACCCCGATTTGTAGTGGTTTACACAATCACCCACACTCTCTCTCCAAGTGTGAAAATTAAAAAAATATATGTGTAAAAGGAATCTTACGCCGTACTGAAAAAAGTTGGTAATCACAGGTTTTATCTCTCTGGGCATATGTCCTTGGCAGTGGGTAAAAGAGTTTATAAGCAGCAAATATGAGGGAATTAAGAGGATTAGGTAAAAAGGCAGAATTGGGAAGTTGACACAGTTGTATTTTTTTTTTTTTTTTTTGTCATCCGGATCCTCGTTAAATATACTTCTCACGCTCTCCATCTCTTTGTTACACACCATGTTGGAAAAGAAGAAAGATGAAAACAACAATCTATGTTTCCTCCTTAGGAAACTAGAAAAAGGAGAGCCAATTAAATCCAAAGTAAGTAGAAGAAAATAAATAATAAAAAAAAGTTACAGGAGAAATCAATGAAATTGACAGGGAGGGAGTCAGTAAAGTCAAAAAGACCAAAAGCTGATTCCTTTGCTCCACAATTCGTGTGGTTCTACCCACTGCTTTCTTTTCTCCATCCTGAGGGCTCTCCTCCCTGATGGAAGCTTGGGCGTACTGTCTCTGGCTTCTCTTCTGAGACAACACCTCGTCCTCCCAGGAGTTACAGCAGCCGTAGAGAATATCATTCCCCATTGAGATCGCCAGCCTCCCAAGATGTCAGCTGGCCCACATGAATAATCTCTCTGTAATGCGGCCAATGAGGATTTAGGAGACAGGTGCATTTTAACTGCTCCCTCCCACACATGATCTTTCTTGTTGAACCCAAATGAATGACTCCCCCGCCACCACCCCCCATTGATGCCTCAGAAATGGGGAGGACTCATGGGATAGTTGAAGCATCACATCATTCCTAATAAGTACCTCATCTCATACCAGATGGGTGGTTTGATTCAGGCGGAGGATTCCAGCACTTCTCTGAAGACTCATCGAGCTGATCTGACAAGTTCATCGAGGCTCCTCCCCCTTCCAGGATTGACACTCCCCGCCCCCCTCCCCGGGCCCATCTCACACTGCCATCTGCAATCTAGCAACTTCCCTCTAAACCCTAAGCTAACCTTTTTCTGAGAAAAAACAAAAGCAACTCTTTATGACTCATATCATTTTAATGACACCAACAGATGGTGACATTTCATCAATAACCCTTCTGCTTATAACCTACGGATTAGCTCCTTTCTCCATCTGCCAAGGTTACCAGGTAGGCAGAGCCACTAGCAAATAGCAGAAAATAATTGTCTGTTTAGATGCATAAGCTCTAAACACACTACTGTCCAGCGCAAACAATTAGCTCTATTGTCCAGCTGCCAAAAGCAGCGTTTGAGGTGGCGCTGCTAGGGCAGAAATGGGCAAGGGGAGGAGCTTGGGCTCAGGCCATACAAACAGTGCTCTTCAGGCAGAATCCACACAGCCCTTTGGGGAAGAGTCCTGCCACCGAGTACAGGAGCCCGGAACCTTGGGGTGGATTTGAGAGCTGTCCTGGGAGCAAGGCTGTCAGCATATTTGGGGGGAAATTTTCATTGTCTTCTTGCCAGGCGCAATCGCTCTCTGGTTCAATGGGCGACAGCTTGCAAGCTGGTCAGAAAAGTGGGAAAAAATATACCATTCGAAGTCTGGGGCCCGTTTTGCCTTTGCCCAAGCTGGGGCTGCTAGCATGTTCACTGGCCTCAGCCCTGGTGAGAGGCCACTGAGGTTAGTGCACTGAGTTTTCAATTTTTCCTAGAGTTGTGGCATCTTGGCTTTAACCTTGTAGCAACCCCTCCTAGCCTCCTAAAGCTTCTGTGGCGTGTCCGCAGAAAACAAAGCAATGAAAAATGATCCGGAAAAAAATTCAAATGACTTCTGATAGAAGGGTTTAAAATAGTTTGATGCCTGCTGGAGTCTCGGTAGAAGCCCTAGAATTGTGTGAAACCAGGGCCAGCAATCACTGCCTCAAGGCTTTATAATTTCTGATACGGGAAATCTGAGACTAAGCCACATGACTTTAAGTTCCCACAGAACGTGTGCTGGTTGTCGGAGCACGAAGGGATCAGGGCAGCGTGGTGGGAAGAGGGGATGCTGGAGAATCAGGAGTGCTGGCTTCCGGGCTCTGCTCCTGCTGTGATTTCTTGGGCAGGGACCACCATCATGTGCAGGAATTCATTGAGTGTCTTTTGGTGTGAACTAGTGCACTAGGTTCTAACTCTTGGTTCTAAGGAAACTTGGATTTAAAACAGGAGACAGAACAAATGGCCCCTGGGTGGCTCAGTCGGTGAAACGTCTGCCTTCGGCTCAGGTCCTGGTATCAGCGTCCTGAGATCGAGCCCCAAGTCGGGCTCCCTGCTCAGGGCTGCTGGCAGAACACGTGGCAAGAGCTTCTGATTCTGCCTGTTATGAACTCAGCTGTGCCCTCCCCTAATTCCTCCGCTGAAACCCTGACCCAATACCTCAGAATGTGACTGGATTTGGGGAGAGGGCCCTTCAGATATAATGAGGCCATTGGGGTGGGTCCTTGTAAGGTGTCCTTAGAAGAGATTAGGACACACAGAGATACACCAGGGGTGTGCGCGCACAGAGGAAAGGGCTATGTGAGGCCACCATGAAAAGACAGCCATCTGCAAGTCAAGGAGAGAGGCCTCAGCGGAAAACAACACCGCTAACACCTTGATCTTGGCCTTCCAGCCTCCAAACTGTGAGGAATCATTTCTGTTGTTTAAGCCATTCAGTATGGTATTGTTAGAACAGCCCTAGCAAACTAATATAGTGCCTAGCTGCATGGTGGATAGAAAGCCCACTTTCATCAAGGCCCAGAATAAAGACTCTGTTTTCAGCCTCTCTTGCAATGAGGTGTGGCCCTATGAGGTCCGGGCCGATGGGAGGTAGCCAGAAAAATCCTCTGCAGCTTCGGGATGTATCTTTAAAGGATGGAAGTGTGTCCTTCATCTCTCCTTCCTCCTTCCTGCTGGCTGGAATGGGAACATTTTGGAGAAAAACTATAAAAGGATCTGTGTTCCTGACACCCCATCAAGAGCTGTTCCAGTCCTGAGCTACCTATACTGACTTGAGAGAAATAGAAAATTCTGTCTTAATGTTGGAGAGGTGTGGAGAAAGGGGAACCCTCTTACACTGTTGGTGGGAATGCAAGTTGGTACAGCCACTTTGGAAAACAGTGTGGAGGTGCCTCAAAAATTTAAAAATAGAGCTACCCTATGACCCAGCAATTGCACTCCTGGGTATTTATCC